CATTAAATTCCAGTGAAATATATTTATGTTTGTGGTTGTAATGTGACAAAATATGGAAAAGTTCAAGGGGTATGAATACTTTTGCAAACCACTGTATCTGCTCCATTTTTGATCTCAATGTCCATCTTTAAATGCCATGAGCAATCCCCACCCCACCTGYCAATCATTTGGGGGGTGGCACCTTGGGTGGTCAAGCGGGTGTCAGGGGGTGGCACTTGCCACACCGGGCACCCCTCTGGCTCCGCTTCTGTGTGTGATCTCATGCAGATATGTTTCAGTGTATGTGTCAAGAATGACTCTCAGCTACTACCACACAAAGTTTTAGCTCAGTTTTTGTAAAATTGAGAGTTTTATAGATATTTTTGTGTTGGATAAGGTCTATAAACTGCAGCAGCCTTCTTGGATTGGATAGTCTCCAAATGCTAATCAGTTGCAGATATATCAGTGTTTACTTTCTGAAAGCTTTATTAAAACCCATTGGGTGGTTCATGAAATATTTTGCTAACAGACAAAGACACTCAGCTCCAATAATTCATGGTAAAGTTGCAAAGCAACCTGTTAGGAGTTACGCTCAGATAAATTTTCCACAATAAATTTGAGATTGGTATCAATGAAATTAGCTGAGTTAAAGCCATTTTTATATTTACTAAATTTGCTTAGCTGTGGTGGCCATCTTGAATGGAGTTGACCTCTAATCAGTTTTAGATGTCTATTTGTTGATTGCTTTCTGACAGACAGTTTCAACAACCATCATCAAGTGGTTCAGGAGATATTTTGACAAGGTGACGAAAAAACAAAACACATGGACGGAAACGGGCCAACACATTATTTTGCCTTTGGCAGTGGGTGCTAACCACAAAGAACAAAGAAAATGGGATGAAAAGGTCAATAAAGGAACTTGTTGAAGGAAAGATAATGCCCAGATCCAACCAGTGTGTTTTTTTATGCAACAGTTCCATCAAGTGGCTCAAACACCAAACTACACCAAGGATGTTCCTTTTACTTTTCATTTTGCTCATGTTTTGCTGATTTCATTTCAGTGCTTCACCCTTTAAGAGTCACCCTTTTAGAAACTACGCCTCCTCTTTATGACATGCATTGCATGGTAAACCTCTATAAGAGGATGTGGAAATGTGAGCACATCTCAGTAAACAAAGCTAACTTTATTTTGGGTTTGAGCAACAATCTTTTGAAACACTGGAAGTTGTCTTCTGCTTTTCTGATAGTGTTTCAAGGGTTTGACAAAAACATTTCCTTCTAGGTCATCATTTCCTCTCTGTTTCACTGTGGAGGGGCTTGGTAACAGAGCAGGTTTCGCTTTCACACGTGGAATGAGGAAGAGCCTGAGCTGTTTGACTGTATTTGCTCAAATATTAGATGAAGGGAGGAGTTCTTGTTGTGGTGAGTGTTATGATTTTGTTGTGTTTCCAGATGGRTTTTCTCACATTCTTAATAAGTGTTTAAACCTTTTTCTTAGAGAACTGCTTAACACCGTCCACACGATGTTTGGCTGTAACTATTGTGTGTGGATTCTTGTGTTTTTGTGACACTCGAGGCAGCAGGCACAGGACAGGAGGCCATGAGCAATGGGAGCTGACACACGTGAAGCATGTTCACCCAGGAGCTGCTGCTGAAACAGCGCACAGAGTTTCTCCACGCTCTCTGCAGCTCCGGCTCAGGCCAACATCTGGAAAGAGTTCTGGATATTCTGCTGGCGAAGGGTGAACTTGGATGGGAAGACTACCAAAGCATCCAGGTCCCAGGGAGGACACTGTACTCTAACGCCAGGCAGCTGTTGGATCTGGTGTACACCAAAGGGGAAGAAAGCTGCGGGCTCTTCATCACAGCTGTCGAACAGGTCCTACCAGAAGCGCAAAGAGCAGGGCTCTCGTTCTCAGGATGCCCTTCGAGTTTGGAGGGAAATGAACAGACCCAGAGTCCATCTGCTGAGACGCTCCTGGCCCAAAGGCCGAGTCTTGTTTTAAAGCTTCAACACTGCATTGATGATGTTCTGGAAGTTCTTGTTGAGTTGGGTCAATTTTCCTCAGAAGAACGTGATGAAGTCCAGCTGCCTGTTCACACTCCCTCTCAACAGGTACCGTCAGCACCCACCATTTTTTTTAAATACCCACAATATGAATCAGTTTGATCATTTATCATCACATTATCATCCGGTTTTCTCTTGCAGGTGATCATGCCCATCATGTATGTGTCTGCATGTGTTACTAAAATATCTCAGTGGTCAGATGCCAACAAAATCTTCAGGAAATAATCTTTGGGTGTACCTCTACAACTGATTACCTAGATTTTGAAGCCACCTCAATTCAAGATGGCCAACACAATCAAGAGACCTTATAAAAAACAAAAATAACTACAATTCAACCAGTTTCACAGATACTGAAGTAAAATATTTGGTGAATGCCAAACATTGCACAATATGTTTGCCTAAAACTTTGGTGTTATCTGATCTGGTCAAACCTGTCTCTCTGTTAGCAAAATATCTCATAAACCACTTGCAATCAATGGTTATACATCTACCCATGATTAACTTTTTTCAAATTTTTATTCATTTCATTAAAAAAAACTAAACACATTTTCATGCAACAAAATAATACAACTCAAACAAAATGAAAGGTAGCATAAGAAGAAAAAATATTATATCTGCCCTTAACATCTGGAGACAATCTAATGTATGTCCTCTGCCACAGCTAATCTACATTWGCCAACACAAAAACAGCTTTAACTCAAATAGTTTCACAGCTGTTCAGCTGAAATGTGGTGGTAGCTGACATCCAATCACAACACATACTGCAAATGTAAATCTTAGATCTGTGGGAAGCCTGTTCATTTCCATTTTAAATGGAGCCACATTTGTAAGGAACATACATTTATGGATGAGCAGTAGAGCTGATCATGTGCATTTTGCACAGAATAAATTAGCCAATATTTTCTGCCATTGCAAAACTGCTTATTCTGCTCTTGTTAATGACACTTGTTTTGATTTTTCAGTACCCCCGGGTACTGCCAATCAGGTGCACACTATACGATTTATTGCCAAGAAGCACTGTTATAACAAATTTTGTGCTGATGGTGTGCTTGTTTGTCTTTGTGTCTATGGTGTATAATGATGTGATTGTGATGCTGTA